AGCGAGGTGCCTGCAAAGGGACCAAAGCCATGGAGATAAAGGACACTGGAGCGCATAGCCGATAATAAGGGCACGGAATCCCGAGTGATTGGGATGTGCCGTCTCCGGCTATAGGGGAGCCCCAAAGACCGAGAATAAGGTAGGGCAGGGACACCTTGCCGCTGCTCGGAAGAGGATGAGCAGATAGGGGAGGGAGGAGAAGGGTGTGCAGAGGCATGGGGGAGTGACAGTGGAGCTTGATCTAGGTAAGCGACCCAACATCCATTGATGGGAGGAGAGAGGGGAGAAGATAATGTTGAATACACGTACTAGTCTTAACGCAGTATGGATCATCCAAAAGTGACTAAAATTCATAGTATTTTCAGGTGACTGAAAACTCTAGATACACCATTTTAGTGCAATTCCCACGAAATTCCTCAAGTATCAATTAAAAGAGAGACCCAAGTTTACTAGGGGCCTCCATTTCAAAAGAGACCTAAGGTTATGAAAGACAGGCAAAGACATATGAACAGCACTCCACACCACTATCACAGTACGTCGATTGATCTCAACACACGGGCCGTGTGTGAACAAAGGTGTACTAGATTGTATAGGAGTATATCGCAAATGAGATATATGTAGTTGCAGATATGCAAAACGTGGTCCCATGCAACCACTCATGTCCATATATAATCTGATCGATTGATATGGTGACCAAAAGGACAGACAATGCATTATATTCATCGTGTAAGGAGAACTACTGGGATATCGATCAATATAGTATCATCTAGCGAAGGCATATATATGCAGCTGGTGCGATGGATCATATCACGCGCGCACTGATCATATGATGATGGGGAAAATGGCAACAACTCCATCTGTTCCTGCACATGCACGCATGGCCATTCCCCTCTCCCTAGCTTTTCTCTTTAATTCGATCACTGGTTCACTTATACGCTCTTAATTTAATTTGATAGACGTACATAGGATTATTGATTGCTCATTTAGGACGCGAAACTTTTATTGTTTTGAAACAAAGATTCAGAAATTAGATAAACGGCTAAATGATAGAGCATAGCTCAACTGGTTAGTTTTTTTTTCGTGAAATCAATCCGCCGGGTTCAAGTTCTAGAGTTAACACGGATGCTCGCATTTATGGTAATTTATTCTTTTAGTGGTAGACAACATACTCGTTGACAACGAGACGTCCGTGGTGACTTCATCAATCTCAAGATATATTGGTCCAATTTTTCAAAGGTACTCATAGGGGTAGGATGTGTATGTGTTGTTAGCTCCCACGTTTGTATTATATTTTGAAAAAGAATATATACACGTTGCATGGGGTAAAAGAAACTAGCTAGGAAAAGCTAGCTAGATTCCGCGTTACAAAGGATTCATGGATTAATGTTTGCCCATCAACTTCGGTGTTGACAGATATGATCCCGCACAAATAATATTTTTTTAAAAAAACTTTCTTTATCATCGCTTCTTATTATTAAGATACTTTTAAATTAAATCAATTTATTAACTTCATAATATTTAATTTGTTCGTCTTACCCTTGAATAATTGATATGTAAACTCAATTTCAGCTATCGTCCATCAGCACTTTAGAACACATCTAGTTTTGTTAGCTCCGTTTCGTATGCTACCGAGTTTATGGCTTGCTCTACGACCTAGACCTACCTGTCAGCCGGTTGCCCTCATATTTTTAACCATTTGATCATCAAAAATTGCCAACTTAAGGTAGAACTATATAGAGTAAAGTCCATCACCGGTCTCTAAACTTGTACCGCTGTGTCATCCTGGTCCCTAAACTCGCAAATCGACCGTTCATATCCTTAAACTTGTTCGACTGTGTCATTCCGATCCCTAAACTTATAGATCACTCGTTTAGGTCCTCCAACTTGTTCAGTTGTGCCACCTCAGTCCCTAAATTTGGATTTGAATATCATCTGGGTCAAATAGGACGGTCTAAAGACTTTATATTTAAAAATAATTCATAACTTTTTCATGTGAACTCTAATGAAGATAAACTTTATAACAAACTTGTAGCCCTCAACGCGATCTACAACTTTGTAGTTGAATTTTTTTTATTTTAAGTCATTTTTTGTCCCAAAATGTAATTTTAAAATTAAAATTTCAAAATCTATAAACATGCAACAATATTTTGGGACCCTAAACAGTTTTAATTCAAAAACTTTTCAACTACAAAGTTGTAGGTCGCGTCGAGAGCTACAATTTTGATATAAAGTTTGTCTTCATTAGAGTTCACATGAAAAAGTTATGAATTATTTTTTGATATAAAGTTTTTAGACTATCCTGTTTAGGGACCGGGGTGACACAACTGAACAACTTGGAGGACCTAAACGAGTGATCTGCGAGTTTAGGGACCGGGATGACACATCGGTACAAGTTTAGGGACCGGTGATGGACTTTACTCAACTATATATGTATGCCTATTGAGAAGGCAAGGTTTAAATTATGGCTTGGAGCATTATATCCTTTCTCCCGAGTATATCAATATGCCATGAAGAAAATTTATATAGGTCCTGTCCCCTAAGGGATAATGAACCTATGTCCTACTGGTTGTATTTGTATATGAAAGATATATGTGTACAAGAATATGGAAATAATTAGACCTAGTCGAGACTAACTTGTCGAGAATCTCAATGAGATATTTTTTTGGGGATCTCCTTGTTTGTGTAGCCCCCTCCTAGTCCTAGGTTCAAGACTCAGTGGGATAATTTTGGTATCATTGTGTGCCTAGCTAAGTCCAAGTAGATCTTCGTAATCTTGCGATAGTTGGATACATATTTTTTTTTATCTATTTCAAGAGAGATATTTCTTTATGGAGTTGTTTCCATATATGAATTTGTATACTATTATTTCTTCACCTATGTATCCATACGCGTGTGAGTTATCTCATTTAGTATAACGATAGTTACACACCAAATCCAACCTTTTCTCTACCATCAAATTGATGTCCATCAAGTGTTGTGTGCTACTAAAATTTAAATTTTAAAACTTGATTTTGATGTTTTTCCAACGTATATCTTTTTTTTAATATTGACTTTTAAGTTGCTAAAAACACATATATAAAAGTTTTACGCATAAGTTATTTTTTGATCACTAATAAATTGTTACGTCTTATAATTGGCCATAAGCAACTGATGAGGGCTTGGAAGTCGTAGTCGCCAGTAAACATATCTATGTGATCAAACATATAGTATATGCATATGCAGTGAAGCATGCATGTGAAAATGATCTGAATGTAGCGGGCGATGCGTACACATACACGTGAGATCGAAGCGACATATATCACACCATGCTCGTGCAGTTGCATCGATCGCGTAATGTACTAATGTATGGATCGTACAAAAGTTGTCGGGCATATGCATATGCCCATTTAGTTTCTCTCTGCCGATATACGCTCCAATCACTGATCAGTGCACAGTGCGTGAAACGTACGTACACCGATCGATCGACAAACTCATGCCTTTAATTATCATCTTGTCGATCAGTCATCGGGAAAAACTAGAGCTGATTTTTTTTTTAAAACACAGGGCAGAGCATAGACCGCTTATAAGCATGCGTACACTCACCTCTCTCTATATATATACACATGTACACGTTACCCTATAAGTTTATTTGAAAAGTGATACATATCATGAGATTCACAAAGTTACAACATACGTCTTCGCTATCAACAAGCATGTCGTCTATTATTGAAAAATAATAATTAGTTATAAATACGAGCATATACATGCTAAATCATGAACTTGAACCCAGATGAACAAATTCCACCATCAGAAATTAAGCTACGCTCATTTCGCAACTGACACAAATTAATTAACTACACAACTAATTGACTCAATGAAGCTATTTACTTAGCTTTCAGCCACAGCTTATTTTCTTTGTTCTTTCAACTATGCCTCGGTCCAAAACCGGTTACTACCGGTCCCTCAAATATATTAGAAGAGATTTGCTTCGGTCTAGTAAAAAGTACTTCAAATTGCCGGTACCTCACGGTGCTAAATCGTTTTCGAACTTTGGAACTAACTAGGTAGGATGGGCATTGGTAGATCCAACGATCGGAAACGATTTGGCACCGTGATGTACCGGCACTTTTAGATACTTTTTGTTGGACCGGGGCAAATCTCATATCAGAAACATTTACATTTCATCCTTGATGAGGGCACCACGTGGTATCCTAGTTATCAAATTAAAATTTTGAAAAAGAAATATATGAGGTGGAAATAAGAGGAAAAAAGGCGTGAAGATGACACGTGGATTATACTATATTTTTGTTACTTAATTATTATTAATTGGTATAGTAGTATGTTTGCTATTTGCCCATGTACGTATACTATATTTGCTATTCAGTATCGAAAATCACCTTTACTTGAGTATATATAGGGATGAAATATGAAGAAAAAATTCGATATATAGTTGAGAAACCAATAGTAAACGGATTTACTATGGTAGGAAAACCAGACCAAGGCCATTTTTGAGGGACCAAAAGTGAATGTAATCCCAATTTTTACCAGTGCTTAATTAATTACTATTCCGTCATGTTAATTTCATGACCCTAGCTAGCTAGATTGGGCCTAGTGACGGATCTACTGTTGGGACTGTTGGTGCGCAAGCCCCACGTCCATTTCCTATCCCTAATTAGCCATTAATGATTCTCATTAAGTTTAATTAGTAATTAATATAAAATTGGGATCCCGTGATGATAGTTGAAGTGCTTAGTGCCTAAAATTGCAAAACACTCAGAATAGACTATACCAATTTATTTGTAGACTTTTAATACATATATTAATGTAGATACAAATTAAAGTGGAGAAGATAATATGTTTATTTTATAATGTGTATTTGGATTTCATCTGAAAATGCTAAGCTGATATTCCTCTGTTCGTCAACCGTGGAAACGTAGGGTTGCGCCCATTCGCTCCACGCCATTTTAGAAGAAATACCAATTAAGCCCCGGATCATGAGATCAAAGACAATGCTATCCCGCTATGGCCGCCTACTCTTCCATATCTCTAGTTTGCTTTAGCGCCATTTTAATTTACATTCTGGATTCGCGGCTGAGAGTGAGAGAGGACCTATTTAAGCATATACTGCTATATTATTCATCACCGGCCATTCCTTACCATTTCTTCTCCCTCTGCATGGTCAGTGCTCACAAACGACCAATCCCCCAAACGCAGCAACACCAAGCAAAAGCAAAAGCTATAGTCCTTCACTAGCTTAGCTAGCCAAGAATCGGGAGCTTAGCTGAAACCTGCTGCTGCATTGGAGAAGATCGAATATGGCTGGCCTCGGGTTCGACGAGACCGAGCTCCGGCTCGGCCTTCCCGGCGCCGGCGAGCTGGCAGCGAGGAGCTCCGGCAAGAGGGGCTTCGCCGAGACCATCGACCTCAAGCTCAAGCTGCAGCCGGCGGCGCCTGCTGCCGTCTCTGGGGAAGAGGGTGCTCAGGAGGACAAGGAAGATGCCGACGCGGCGGCGGCGGCCGCCGACGAGAAGATGTCGATGAAGAGGTCGGCGAGCCAGAGCAGCGTGGTCACCGCGGAGCCCGATCCCGACAAGCCGCGCGCGCCCAAGTACGCACTCGACCTCTCCTCTCCTCGTTAATTAATCTCCATTTTTGTTGTTATTTTCATGAACTTGTGTGGTCTTAATTCTTGTATAAAGACAGTTTAATCCTTGAAGAGTTTATGTTTGCTCTTTGTTTCATCTTCTTGAAGGATATTAAATCCACATAGTAGATAGGACTGATAAATGGAAAGCTAGCGAGTAGCGATTCAAAAGTATATTGGCAAGTGTTTTCAAGAAGAGCCATTAGTTAGCCCTGAAGGAATGAAGTAAATAAATTTCTGCAGTTTTGGGAAAAGACTGTAATTTGATATCTAAGTTTTTTTTTTGAAGAACAAATTTGACATCCAAGTTAAAACGAAATGAAGTCGGAGAATTTTTCAAGTGGCAGCTAGGCAGGAGCTAGTTTTTGGTCTCTGTAGTTTTGGGAACAGAGACATTAGGATCCCAAGTTGGATACTCTGGCAATGATGGATACAATATTCAGTCAAAAAAAGATGATGGATACAATAAACGAACAAGAACAAGCTTTCCAGTATGTAGCAGTAGAGTACTATCCCCGTTCTGAAATATTACTACATAGAATAGTATTTGACTCATCCAAAACAATGAATCTGGATAGAAGTAATCCAGATTCATTGTTGTGAGATATATGACGATAGATCAAATCTCATCCTAACTACTCCCTCCGTCTCAGAATATAGCAATTTAGAATGGAATGAGATCCATTTTAGGATAATGTATCCGAACATCCCATCCTAAGTTGCTATATCCTAAGTAATATTTAGGGAAGGAGTAAGTTCACGATAGCTTCCGTGCGTACACAGAGGAGCAGCAGTAGAAAAATGGCCATCTGATCTGAAACCAACAAGCCATTGGAACTTGGAAAGCCGTTTTTCTAAAGAAAAAACATTTTTCATTTATGTAGTGCACAGTAACTGGCAGAGACATGGCAGTTTGCTTGTCGCACTAATTTACACAAAGCTTGCAAATTAAAATAAAGCATTGTACAAAATGGAGAAAAGGTGTCAGCTTTTCTTTTTCTATATTTTTTTTACGAGGCGTAGCTACAGATGCTTCGTTTATCATTGAAAGAAAAATTAGTCGTAATAACATCCTCTGGTGTGAAAGGATAGACGAGTGTTCAAAGACAGGGAGCTTCACATCCCTCAACTAGCGGCAAAAATCCTGAATGAAATCCATATTTGGATGGCATGTGGTGCAAAGAATCTTGCAAGAATAGCACCATAACATCCTCTGCTATAATTTTTTCTTCTTTTTTTTCTGCTACCCCTGTCCTCCTGCTCTTCTTCTTAAATATAAAACTAGCTCGGCTGGCTCAGTTTTTTTAAAAAAATAAAAATAGTCGTAATAAGCATAGTACTTCAATCCAGATTAGATAGATCTCACCATTAAAAACCTAACTAGTTGAGCGACGATGATGTCAACTTTTCATTGATTAATTAATTAATCAGAATGCATATATGTCGATCAGGGCGCAGGTGGTGGGGTGGCCGCCGGTCCGGTCGTTCAGGAAGAACGTGCTCGCCGAGAAATGCAAGGCGGCGGCGCTGGTGAAGGTGAGCATGGACGGCGCGCCGTACCTGAGGAAGATCGACGTCGCCATGTACAAGAGCTACCCGGAGTTGTCCATGGCGTTCCAGAACATGTTCACCTCCTTCACCATCGGTATATATATATATACACTAGCTATATATATATATTCAACTATATATGCATGATCACACGATATAATAAGTTTCTCTTTGTCACTGTAATAGAACTAATAAAATCAACGGTTTCTACTAATGACATTGGCCGTTACATAATCCTGTCAGTAGAGGACTCTATTTCATATAGAGACGATCTTAACCATTGATTTATGAGTTATTCTACCATTATCAACAGTTGAGGGGTAGTATAAACAAAAATATGACCTATTAGATTATTATAGAAAAGAATCAAAGATGAACGATATATATATAGACTGATTAAAATATTAAGAGAAACTATTGCAAAACATCTGTTAAAATTAATAGGGTGGTTGTTGATCATGTTCAGGCAAGTGTGGGTCCCATCAGCAGCTGAAGGAGAGCAATAAGCTGAGAGATGACCTGGAGTACGTGCCGACGTACGAGGACAAGGACGGCGACTGGATGCTCGTCGGCGACGTCCCGTGGGAGTAAGCCTCGCCGTCGCGATAAGCATAATCCCAGTTCTAATAATTAATCCCCATCAGCTAAGCTAGCAGATCGGATGGATCGATCGAGTAACTGATCAACGGATGAAATAATACTCCCTCCGTTTCAAAATATTTGACACCGTTAATTTTTTAGTACGTGTTTAACCATTCGTCTTATTCAAAAAATTTAAGTAATTATTTATTCTTTTCATATCATTTGATTTATTGTTAAATATACTTTCAGGTACACATATAGTTTTACATATTTTATATTTTTTTTAAATAAGACGAATGGTCAAATATGTGCTAAAAAGTCAACGGTGTCAAATATTTTGAAACGGAGGGAGTAATAATAATTCTCTTGATCTTTAATCCTCATCTCGTCGTTAATTGTTTGTTGCAAACTGACATACGTGCAGGATGTTCGTCGAGTCGTGCAAACGCCTCCGAATCATGAAAGGGTCTGAAGCCATTGGCCTTGGTCAGTACTATTGTCTCAACAGAAATTCAGTTCAGAGTTTCAGATCAAAATGTGTTTTACTTTTACATGCTTCATACTAATTTGGCACTAACTAAATAGTATGTTTGTTTGATTCCAGCACCAAGGGCAGTGGAGAAATGCAAGAGCTGAAGCTGATCAAGGAGAATTAATTAGCGCCGCATCCAGATTTATTAATTTTCACGGATATTATATTATATTATATTATATTATATTATATTATATTGCATGCATGCTTTGCTCCTCCCTGTATTATACTAGTATCAAGTAATTAGTTTACTGTAATTCAGTGTCAGTTAAGCCTGTGTCATCTCAGTTTTTCTAAGGGATTTTGATGTATTTACATGTGGGTTAGCTCCATCTTGTTATGCTCATGGAGTATATATATACGTAACAACAATGTCATCCTTACGTCACCCTTTTCCTCTCTGTTTTTTTTTTCTGTTCCTTTTTTTTTTTTGCGGGAAATGCGGTTGGTGATTACCTGTTCTTCTGCAGGGATCCTGCAGCTTGTCTAACACTAGTACAGCAGTGCTCAATTATCGTGGCCATCCAACAGATTATAATTAATTGCCTAGCTGCATTGTTTAATTAATTATGTCGAGGTGCTAATTAAAAAACCTGTTTCTGGATTCAATGATGAGAATGAGAGGCATCCTTTTGTGATGTAGTGTACACAAGAAACATTAGTATCTTCACAATGTTTTATATTTCCCAGCCAGCTAAAGAGAGGAAACATGCCATGTGCATAGAGATGGGGGATCTTGTTTTTATATATCTTCCAGTGGTAAATTGTGCATCATAATATAATATGATGTTAAGAGTTTGGGGTTTTTGTTTTCCATCTATCTGTATTACGTGCTAAGGTGTTCAAATAGTGAATTGTTCTACAAGCAAGCAAATAAGAAGGGTGCAAGGTTGGCTAAAAAGGAAAAAAAAATCAGGTTGTTGGAAAGCAGTGCCATTATTTTTTTTTATAAACTTTAGGCTGCTGCTTCAATGCTATTGTATACTTGTATGCGAATATTGTATCCAAAAAAGGAGGTTGAATGAGAAAGCTATTTTAAACTATTGCAGAACTTAAGCTATCTTTTGTTGATCCTATGTCCCCTTGTAATGATGACACGTCCCAAACAATCCGGGTGTTTTCAAATGCTCCAGCAGAGCAAGAAAAGAATCAAAGATTTATTTTTTTACAAAGTTGTATCAAGTTGTTAGTTGCAGCATGCCAACAAAATTAGAGATGAGTACAGGTTATGCTGATATCAGGGGTTCTAATCTTCTGTATTTTCTTCCTCTCAAGGAGACATTTCATATATTAAAAATCTTGTACAAACAGGAATCAGGAAACAATAGCTAGTACGGTCGGTAGTACCAACCGTCTAAACTGGAGTAGCATGTGTATTCACATTCACACTGAAGATCCATCAATGAGATTTTCTACCACTTGATATCTTTCAGACTTGATAACGGAGTAAAATACTATCCCTAGAATTTCTTCCATACCTTAATAGCAGAGTAAAATTATACCACTAGATTTCTTTCAGACTTAATAGTACAGTACAACATTTGTATCACAGTAACTGCCTATACTGAGGGCACTCATGCTAAGCTAGCAAAGCAGTAAATGAGTTGAACATTCCTGAGCATAACATTTCAAAGGATACAGGCTCTTTATTTTCCCGAATAGAATAGAATATATCGTCATGGCTACATATTATTGTTTTACAAAGTCTCAGGCCAGGGAAACACACATCATAAGCAATGGAAACAGTTGCCCAAAGCAACTTTATACAACAAGCGCATCATAGATACTATAAGTTCTGGAGACATCACCGAATGCACAACAACTTAACAATCTCCCAGCAGTGTGCTATAAAAATTAGGATGTGTACAATAACAATGCTCAGGTTTCTACATCTGGTTACGTTATTATCAATCAAGATGAACGGTGCACTGGTTCCGCCTTAAATCGATCCCCTTTTTGTCCTGCGATGGCTGAGAAATTCAGAGGTAAGCCCAATATGTAGGTGTAATGGTCAGGAGATTATGCGGATTTAGAGGATGAGGTTACCTCTTGCTGTGCGAACTGCGGAAGTTGAACCCTTTTTGAACCATCTGCTAGCCGCTTGCATGGAAGATGTGGTTCAGCTGCAGCGAACTCATTCAGAACCTGGCAAAAATTTTGGCAATACATTGGAAAATGAAAGGCAAGGGGCAATGCTTTTCCAGATCTTTTTTTTAAAAAATAAAAAGATGGCTCAATTGACACTATTAAAAAACAGCTTCTCAGCTTTATAAATTATTTGTCCGTACAACAAATTAAGTGCCTAAACCAGAACTACCAGTCTTTGCAATCAGAACTGTAAAAGGTCAGTTGCACTGGTTGCCCAACAAAATGTGAAATCCAACAGTTTGCATATGAAGTTTCTAGGAACATGTTTGTTCCACATGACATGATGTTTAGGAACAAGTTTATTGCAAAAGTTATGCCATAAAAAAGAGGGTAAAGCAATTTGATCAATTGCGAATTTGAAGTCTTCTGGCCGGTTTGCACCTCAACCAGTTACCAGCAAGCTGGTCAGGTTTACTAGCTAATCTGGTTCATCTTTTAATTTAATAAGAGGCAAAGCATTTCAAACTGCAACTAGCCAACTGGCGACTGCCAACTACCTTATGCTCTCTCAAAATTAGTGCTGGTAGCAGTAGCATACATAGGCGTCTTTTCAGTTTACCTTCTCTGCTAGTCACCGCTCAACTCTAAATTCGTGAGGAGCAATGGATAGCAAAGCAACAAAGCAATGAAAACCTAATGCACCAGCAGTTAAGGACAAGATGGATGAACCACACACATCAACTTGGATGTCAGTAGTTCCTAAGATGATGACAATTGACATAAGGTAGACAAACACCATGAACTGATCAAGAGCCAACCCTTTAGAAGCAAGAATACAGACACAGGGAGACTGATGAGTGTATAGAGTATATAGGTGTTCTATTGCTCGCCAATGGTCTGAGTTATTTGGCCTGAACCCTGAAGACTCATTGAGTTGGAGGGCCTTAGACTAAGGCACTCCAGTTCACTATATAATTTTTTTAAGGGAGGGAAGTCTGCTACAGAGATTTTTGTGAGAAGTGTCTTATATATAAAATCTAGTTAAGAAAATCTCAAGTTACAACATCAGTCACATGACGCAGGGGCATCAACCATCACAATGTACACACACCGCATCCAATTGTATGGTTTATATCTAAGTTATGTATTGCCTATGGTCTGGTATACCTTCAGCCTGCTGGTGCTTACTCCTTTGTAGATTCCAATTGAAACACTTTTCTTCGTTATGTTGTCTTTCGGTTTATCAGTTTCTGGAGGGTAAAAATGAGCCAAAAACCAAAAGCAAAATTAGATGTTTTTCCACCATATTGGATACAAGAACCTTTTTTCCAAATAAAACAAACTAAACTTGAAGTTAGCAAACTTATGTTCAGTTCAATTTATCAGGAGTGTCTTTTAGTTTATCAATTTCTGGAGGGTAAAAATGAGCCAAAACCAAAAGCAAAATTAGAATGTCTTTCCATCAGATTAGATACGAGAACCATTTTCCAACTTAATACAAACTAAATTTGAAGTTAGAAAGCTTATGGTTAGTTCAATTTATCAGGACCAATCTAGTTCTGCAGTCTGCACAAGGGCACATGTCTACAGTTATTGGTAAGCAAAACACACATGTGAAGTGTGTTCTTCAGAAATATCTAGTCATTCTACAAGAATTCCAATTACTTGTTGTCCATTGTGAATGATTTGATGCTTGTCACCTTATGAGCCTACTTGAAAGTTGAAATACAAGAAACTCAAAACACAGTAACAGGAAAAATGCAGGAATTGAGTGTCATGATCAATCAAGTCCTACGGCAGCTGAAAAACAAAGGAAAACTTCAAAAGGTGTTTAGATACAACACCAGAAAATTGTAGGTTTGGAAGAGACAGAAACAGAAGCATGAGATATGGAAATATTCCTCCAAAGCCCATATTGAGTAGTCTACCATATTAGGAGTTTCAAAGGAAATCATGGAGTCCAATCCTTTGTTCCAAAGGCCTCCATAGGACTTTTTTTTCTTACAGAAGGATTGTAATTGTCCAAAATTCCATATTTATCCTCCATTTTAAACGGGGCCTAAAAAATGCAATAATCCAGCGACATTGAATTTTACCTAGTGCACTTGTAACTGAGTAATTGTGAAAGAAAGTTCTATCCAAAAGGAAAATTCACATGGGCATGAGAAAGGGTCTCGTAAACTTTACCTGGTTTCTGATTGCTCCAATCAACATATCATGACAACCAGATGCATGCACATTCTTTAATTTTGGACACTGAAGAAGCAACCGTTCTGCGCAAAATATTTAGATGGTTAATAACGATGGCTACTATCAACATACTCAACAACATGAAGAAAAGGGGAAAGGACATAAGACCTGGATTTAGATTTGTACAGGAGTTGAGGTTTAGATCATTCAGCTCTGGACAATTTAGATATAGAGCCTGCCATATGTGAAATTAGTAAACCATATGAATGATTATTTCAATAAATCAAAGCCTGCAAATTCCAAAACACTTACATCTATTGCTGAGCAGCCCCATAGACTGAGCTTCTTCAGATTGCCATGCTTAATGATAAGCTTTTGGTTAGTAGACTGTTTTTTCGAGGTGGGCAATTTTGGACAAAATCTAATGGCACCGTTAATTTCACCAAAATAAGGCCCCTGTTTTTCATTCTGCAAACTAGCACATAAGGTCATTCCACAGTCCATTAGCTGAAGAAGTGGTAATTGTGCTGTTGCAAATTGGATCCCACCTATGAAAAGACAAGATAAGTTTTTTTTACGCTGGATCATGTAAACACATACAGGTGGACATCTATAATGGAGCACGAATAATAAACCATGAGAAAAAATCTGTCTTACACGTCGTCACATTTGGGCAAAGAGCAAGGAGTAGCCTTGATAAAGTATGAGGAAATGCCTTGCAGATCATCCCGACACCATTATCACTGATACTAGATCTGGAGTATAATCAAAATAGCTAATTACATCAGTTAATTTTGAAAACCATTAGAGGGGAAATAAATCAATAGCTTTATGATGACTTCGTATTTTATTTATTTCTAAGGACATAAAGTAGTGATTACCCGCTTAAATCAAGCAATTCCAAGCTTGCACAAGATCGAACAATAGATGCAACAGCTGCATCTGTTATTTTTGACCCTAGAATCAATGATAGCATGCACAAGCCCCTGTGACATAATAACAAGATTGAGATCAAAGGGTTGAAATGCTACATAGTTAGAAATTTGTGATGATAATCATTGTATTATAGCTCAAAGATCCAGCAAGATTACATTAAAAGCATGGTGTGCTGGAAAGATACCTGAGGCTAGCACCCTCCAGAGCAAACACAGCTTCATTGGATAACTGAGCAGATGATATGTGCATGTTTTTTAAGTTAGGACAGGTACGACCCAGGCCATCCATCAATGTGACAAGATCAGTACAGTCGTTACTTTGCTGTGTGAAGCACAGCGAGATTTCGCTCATGTTAGGACAGTTTATGACCTACAAGGCATTTACACTCCAATGAATTATAGCTGAAAAAGAAGCTGTTAAATTGTTAAAGTATTAAAACAAAATATTACCGATTTTGAAAGGGAACAAAGATCTGACAGCCAAAGAATTGACAGGCTTGAGGAGTTTAGATTAAGAAAACCAAGGTTACAGCAACCACCAATTTTGAGAACTGAGAGAGAATGCTTTTCCGAAACAAACCGACTTAGTTCCTCCCTGTTGAGAACAGAAACAGCTTTATTTGAAACAGGTCCTGGAAGTGGGAGGCTAATAGTGTTGCAGTTATTTTAAAACTATGTAAAATCAATAAGTATTGAACATTCAAGATACCAATAATGGCAATATAGCCCAGGAGAAAAACTGGTTTATGCAAGCATAACATAACACGAGAAAATGATTAGGGACAACAAAAATTATCAGCAAAGGAAAGAACCAACTAGATTGCATTTTTAATAGTAGAATTGTAAAGAAGAACAAATCCTGGCTTGGCAGAATCCAATTTGCTAGGAACCTTGATTTTACATGGCAATTTTTAGATGGGAAGCTAGCACTTGCAAACAAATACATGTCAATTTGAGCTATTCAAACTATATCCAAGCAAGCCCACTCTATGTAATATAATGAAATTTAAAGAACCAAAAGACAAAGTCAAGATACATAAGTAAACACCACATCACGTATGCAACAACTAATAAGTGATAACGTTTGAACGTACCCAGTCATCCTGTTGACTGCGTTGTCAGACATGCTGATCTCAAGAGTTCCTAAACTTGGGCAGGAAAAAGCAAGACAGGCCAGTATAGTGGCATCAACATCACTGCATAAAACAATAAGATAGTTAGATACCTGTGATAATAAGTTATAAGTACAACATCTTTTTCAAAGCGCAATAAACAGAAACCGCAAGAACTGTGTATATGCCCTGTAATAAGCATAGCATCTTCTTCTCAGTGTAAATAACAGAAACAGCGTCAAAGCTATATTGACTACCACAGTGGCCAGATCCAAAAAAAGGTAGTTACTTGTGCTCATTCACGTAAATCTAAGCGCACAAGTTAATTTCACTGTTGATAGGCTTGAGCGAATCTCTATACTGATGGAAAAAGAAAAGATTTTTTTATTATTTGAACTTTTTAAATTTTTAATTTAAAAAAAAAACCTTTCAAAACTTATTTCCAAGATCTGAACCTTTTGGCCACACTAGCCGGACTGGCGTGGCAAAACAATACTACCATGCCGGTCTGGTTGGCGTGACAACGTATTTAGCCATGCCGGTCTAGCTGGCGTGGCAGCGTTATTTGGCCACACCACCCTGGCTGGCGTGGCAAGATAAAACTATCGCGCCTACAGTGTGTGGCGTGTCAGTGTTGTTTTGCCACGCTAGGTGGGCTGGTGTGGCCAAAAGATTCAGATTTTGGAAATAAGTTTTGAAAGGGTTTATTTTTAAAATTTAAAAAGTTCAAAAAAGAAAAAAAAAAGGGATAGTAAGCACAAAAGGTGTAAGACCAGTTCTACATTTGTTAGTGTGCTTGAAAACCTTTACGATGTGAATACTTCTAATTTGTTTAGGACAAATATTACAGTTACTTAAATGATAATAGACTTGTTAGTTGGTGGTCACTAGCCACTTTATATTTTATAAAGGAAGGGATCTTTAAAGGTTAACAGATGAAAAAGATAAGACAAGTGAAACAAAAGGCAACTATGCTACAATCCCTTCACTGCCAGCTTCTCTATCGCACTGGACCTAGAAAGAGTCCAAACTGGAAGCATAGATCCTTGAGAAATAGAGCAGCTATGAGTGCTGTCCACTACCTCTAATGTTCCAAAACAGATAATCCCTCACTCGCAACAGAGACCTTTCAATGTATTGTACCAGCAGGTCATTGATAATCATGTGTTCAATTGTCCTTTTGCTTTACCAACCAAAATGCTACCTAATCTGCGCCCATCCAATTGACCATGCATACAGAATAACATGTCCCACAACTGTAGAATCAGTCAATATAACTAAAAATTATGATGAAAATAAAGTTTCATTAACACGGCAAAGTGGAGCCAAGAAAAATGTAAAGAACCCCATTTTCACAACTGAAAATAGATGTATGTTATTTAACATAAAATAACTGAACTGCGTAGGTACTGGCAGAATGAACTAATACTGTTTTTTAAGTTTTTAAAAATAGTTGGTGTAGGCCACAGGCTCAAATAATATGAATTATGATAGAAGAGAACAGTTTCTACTGTTCAAAATTAGCAGATTTTATTCTAGGGCTAGTTCTATGTCAGTCCATCATCAACGATAAACAACACATTACATGTGCATTTCCTACAAATTAATCTAGTCGATCACTTGTGAAAGTTATACACGCCACCCTTGCAACTATATCAAAAGATTGTCCAAAAGAGGGAGATATCAGCACAGACATGTCTTAAGCATGCTCCCCATTATTTTCACCTTGCTGCACTGAGAAGTGAGACACTGACAAGCATCGTGTTGTGCAAACTAAATCTCCAAACACCAAGATCTGATGAACCCCTCAACAGAACACACGAGGTTTTCTCATCCAAAGCTAAAAGGCCAGAAATGACGAGCATTTTCCCAACAGTTTGACACTAGTAATTCCAATAAAATAGTTTCATGTGCCAACACCATTTGGTAGATTTACCACCTCAGCACATCCGACCGCAAGTCCATGGGATTCCGGTGTCGTAAGAATAGAAATGGCATTTCAGTGCCATGCCGACTAGCGATAAATCTTCTAGCAGCAGTGACAGATCGGCCATCAGTTGTCCTTGGGAAATCTCACGTTTTCGACGAGTTAGTGTGATTGTGCTATGGAGTTTAACCAAAATTCATTGGCCCTAAGAGTCAAATAATTTAGAAGGCATTTTACAGTGCCCTGGGCAGCCACCGATGAGAGATCCGGCCATGAATCCGAGCAGATCGGCGTGGAAATGAGATCGTTTTTGAACCGGATTCGTTGGGGGTTTCACCTTTCCATTCGCAGGGAGAGCCGCGAGAGCGCGGGGCACCGCGGGAGCAGCGCGCCGACGAGGCTGACCCCAGCGGCGCGGAGGCGCAGCTCCTCCGCCGCGCGCCACACTCGCCCCGCGCAGTCGCGCCAGCCGCGGCTGACCGCGGCGGCGGCCATGACCCCCCTGGGCCCCAGGCGGCGCAGCACCTCCGCCATGAGCTCCCTCGGCACGGCCCTCCCGCCCAGCTCCACCGCCTCCTCCTCCTCCTTCAACTCCTCCTCGCCGCCCTGCCCCTCCACCATCTCCACCTCCCCCTCCCCGCCCCGTCCCACCGCATCCGCATCGGGAACCACCCTCGGCTTCTTCTCCGGAGACGACGGCGTGGCCGAGGCCGAGGCGGTGGCGGCGTCCTCGAAGGAGAGGGCGCGGCGGAGCTTGGTCCCCTCCCCTCCTCCGCCTCCTCCGCCGCTGGTGGTGGTGGTGGCGGCGCCGGAGGAGGAGGAAGGGGAGGGGGTGGGGGCGGGGCCCCCGGCGGCGCAGACGTGGCCCTTCTTGGGGAGGCCGCAGCGGCCGCAGTTGTAGCTGCCACGCGTCTTGGGGCGCGGCGGAGGCGGCGGCTTGGGCAGCGACGCCATGGGCGCGCCCCCCACTGGATTTAGGGTTTGCTCGCGCGGCTGTTGTTGTTGGAGGTGGGGGATGGATGGATGGATGGGTGGGGAGGGGAAATAGTTAGCAGCTCGGGAGGAGGGCGGGAGATTGGGGACGGATTGGCGCCATTTTTCGGGTCGCGAGTGACCCACCGCCCGCCACGACGCCACACGCGCCTCTACCTCTCGCTCTCGACAGCCAGTCGCAGTGAAAAATAAAAGGAAAATTTAAAAAAAATGGATGTTAGGTTTTCTATGGCTTTGGGAACGGGGAATTGCCTTTCATGTTTAAATACTTTCTTTTTTTTTCTTCTTTTACCACTGGAGTGCCTGGAGGAAATTCCCATCACTTTCCTATCTTTTTATCGCCCTCCTTCAGACAATCGCTTTTACACTCCTCGACTTACCCTGACTCATTTTTCCCATGTGCTCTTATCAAACTGTTAAATGATATGTTTTTTATAAAAATGTTTTAAAAAACATATTAATTCATTTTTTAAATACAATATTAACAGATAGTTAATATTCAAATAATCATATGCTAATGGATCATTTCATTCTACATATCTTTTCGATCTTCTCTTTTCTCTCCTCCCAAACACAACTATCAAGATAAAACTTGAATTTTACATTTAGTTTTAAGTTAATTTTGAGTTTTTTTTTCATCGTAGTTTATTTCTAGCATTTTCTTTTAAATTATTAAGAATGTATATAAATTTTTATTTAAAATTTATTTTTTGGTTGGTGATAAATAATAATAATAAGCAAAAACGATGATTGTGTAAATTTCTTCTTTAGTGAACTTTTAACTTCCTAGTTCCTACTAGAAAATGTTGTTCGTTTCCAAAAATTTAAAATTGTTGTGTGATTAAAAAAATGATGTTAGGACACTCCCAATTCATCGAGTCTATAGATATAATTATCTATTTATTTCACCACGCATATATAGTTTCCACATTAGTGTCTTTGGACGAGAAATTAAACAACTATTTTCCACTCACAAACAAGTATAGGAGGATCAGCTATATCATTTTAGTCAATGTGTCCATCTGTGTGTACTATCAACTTCGAATAAATAGTTATTTAGGTAGTCGTCCCTTGACAACATTCTAAGTTGATGTGATCGGATCAGTGAAAAAGCTGCATTCCATTAAGTAGAACAGGCACATGCATCCAATCTATCCATGGATCATCAAGGCGGGTTGTCTATCGAGGGGGATTGCTCCCCAAGTGTATCGTCATCATCGACATTTCCTCATTATGTTTACTCACCCTCCCACAACTACCTATTTGTGTAATAGAAAGCTTCACCAAGGTAGGAGATGAGTAGTGGGATGTCATCTAGTAGAGATTGGGGTGGAAGTACGGGAGATTAGGGTAGGGATTTAGCAAGGAGATAGACTAGCGGTGCGCAAAATCGTTGAGGGAGAGAAAGTGTGGACAGGAGAATGGAGTTTTCACAGGAATAGGCAAGCGAGGAAGAACATTAGCAATTCCCACGCGAGGGAGGCACCACTTCGAGCACACGACGAAGGCGCGAGATACGAGCGCGATGAATAATGGCGGGAATGGGGCGACGTGCAGGGATGAGAGATCGAGATGGGTGTTGAGAAAGGAAGTAGACAATACCCAGCCAAGTAAGGGATCTAGACTCTACCTTGGGAGCTATAAGGATGGAGGAAACTACAGGCGGTCAAATGTTGAGTTGACCATCGGTGAAACATCGAGTTATACATGATAAAAAATCAGCTATTGAACATTTAGAATTTTAATGAAATATGGTGAAAACACACATTAAACATGTCGCCATCACGTATGAAACATTGAGTTTCAATTGCAACATATGTTTTTCTTTCAGCAGAATATAATCATGTGTTATCTTGTTATAAATATTAGATAAGTAGTTTAGGAGAAAAATAATTTTGAAGATCTATACAAGCATGGAGTAGAAACAGAATAAGTAGTATGCTAGATTGCTAGGAGAGAGAATAGGGGCATGGGCGCCCAATACTTTACCGACCATTGGTGAAACATTAAGTTATTAAGTTATACATGGCAAAAAAAATAAACTATTGAAATATATTTTTATGAAAAACAATGAAAACACACATTAAAATATGCCACAAAACCGTGTATGTAAAAGTGCACCTAGGCCCCCATTGGGGTTTTGGACGATTGATGACAAAATCGTAAGGGAACTAAGTGTGCATAAAGTGTATTGAACATGTGTTATTTCCAAAATGAAAAGAAAAGAAATTGCAATGGTAACCCTTACAAAAGATAAGGAAACGACACTGTATAGAATTTGACATTTTTGTTTACAATGCATGCATGGGTGATGCTTGGAGCTGCCGAGGTGCCGTCTGTCCATGGAGCATGAACCATCATAATTTTATCATGTTCCTTTTTTTTCAGAGTCTAGGCATGCCGCGCTATCAAGAGGGGTGTGTGCAATGCGAGACAATGATCAAAAGTGTTCAAAAATACATTCTTAATTGTTGTGTTGAAAATGTCAAAGTCCCACACCCTTGAATCCTTGTTTTGGGCTTTAACTGGTAACCTGGAGTACCCGAGGCCCCGAGCATTACCATGAGTTTCCTGGTAGGCTTTTCGTGTGCCTAGAGCTCCTATTTCGAAGGCCCCGACCTTGACTTGGGGCCATCTTTCTTGTAGTACGTCCACAAGACTCTGGGAGTTATCTCGGAGCCACCCATAAGCCACTTCGCTGCCCGGAGCCTCGATCCCGGGGACCTCGGGCTAGTCTGAGCCACACTCAGCTTGTAGTCCCGGAGAATCTAGGTGGATATCCCAAAGACTCCAGACAACCTCCTCAGGTGTCTAGAGGTTGTTTTCCAGGATCTCCGAGATCCACTTCACGGCCACAGCAGCAACACTTGGAGGCTCCGAGGCTCAAGCCTAAATACTTCGAGATCGGGCTGTCAGCCTCTCAACGGCTAGTGGTTGGTTGGTGGGGGTAATTATACCCCCCCGGCAAACCACCACCCTCTCCCCCTCTAGCTCCCCGTTTGTGTTCTCTCTCTCTTGGTGCTCTCCCCCTCTCCATCTCTCTTAGCTTTGAGGCACATCTTTGTGGGATTTTGGTGGCCTGAGTGCTTGTGAGCTAGAGTTCACCCTTGAGCACTTGAGATCGGCCTTGGGCCTTGCACGTGCTTGTTACTCTTGGAGCCTTGGGCCTTGGGCCTGGCCCGAGCCAATCGCCGGTTTCCTGGTCACCGGGAGGCGCCTTCCAGCAAGGGTCGCCATCGTGGAGTCCGCAGTCGCTAAAGGCGGGGAGTCACCGGACGCTTTCGGTGTGGAGTCACCGGTCGCCGGCAGCAGGGATGCGCCCGGCGCCGATAGGGGATGGCATGACGCCCGGGCGCCCCTTCTGTCCGCTGAGTAGGTCTGGGCCGCCGGTACCGTACCGCGAGCCTCCATTGTCCTACGAACCATCGGTGCTGTCCCATTGCAAACGGAAGGCCGGACTCTTCATATCGTGGAAGAGCTACCTGGGGAGGAGATTCTATGGTTGCTGTCCTAAGAGGGTAAGTTAACACTAACCCTTGCTGTAAATTTTAGCTATTGATCAGCAATCTCCTTGTTATCTATTGAATAATTGCTATTGATCAGCAATCTCCTTGTTATCTATTGAATAATTGCTATTGATCAGCAATTTCCTTGTTATCTATTGAATAATTGCTATTGATCAGCAATCTTAGTAAATTTTAGCCAAAGAAAAGGAGATAAATCTATTTTTGGTAGGCTTGTAAGATAGATGAGAGCTATTATTCAAATATGTGTGGTAACTTCTCAGTGATATAACAATTCAACTTCAAGTATTTTAGCTATCGATTCTTGTCAATTTTTGTTGTTCTTTTTTTTCTAATATGTTCATATTTTGTTTGCATATAGAATGAGACAAGGTGCGATTTCTTTCGGTGGTACGAACCGCAATTTGATGAACAAGGTGGATTTCTTGGTGACTGAGCTTGAAGAAAAAAAAAGATTAAGGAAGAAGGTATTCAAATCCGTTTGGGTGAGCTGATAAATGACCTCAATTTTAAATGAAGGATGTTCAGCCTTAGAGATGTGGAGATGTTGTTGCCAATCTCTGCTATTCGAAAATGCTTTTGCACCGCTGCTAGTTATCATTCTTCACTATCTTAGTTTCAGTCCCAGTTAGTTTCTGCAGTCCCAGTTTGTGTTTGAACTATATCGTTGGTTAGTCTCTATGTGTTAAAACTCCATCTGTAATAACTCTTGTGTCAACCTTATCATGGTCACGCCATGTTGTTGGCTTCAGTGCTATCCAATGCCGGCTTCTTACATGATGTTACTGATGTTTTGCACTCAAATGCGATGTTTCAATAACTGCCGCTAGGATTAAATTGAAGTTGTATGAAAATTGGCATTTCGTGCCTAAATGGAAAACATGGCAGTAAATGGGACCAAAGATACTAGAAGCGGAGGATGCAAGAATGGATGTTTGATGCTAAAATGGAAATTGAGCTGATGTCTCTGCCACTAAAAAAGAAAGTACCAAAATAGAAGATTACCAAAACTGGAGCTTGTGACGGTGAAATGGAGCATATGGCTCTCTAATGGAGCAGATCAGGGAAATGGAGCAACATCAGGGAAATGGAGCATGTCATGGTGAAATGGAGCACCTCAGGGAAATGCAGCAATAGCAGTGAAATGCAGCACATCAGTGAAATGCATGTCACATGCTCCATTTGCCTCACTTGCTCCATTTCAGCAGCATATGCTCCATTTGCCTGACGTGCTCATCAGGCGTGAAGGGGTTGCTTGGGGCGTGACTTGTTCCACACCGGACCACCTCCTTCTGGCCACAACGGTTGGCAAGGCTAAAGAGCTGGGCCACGATCAGAGCCATCTTCTCCAGCATGCGCTTGTTGCAAACGCCTGACCTAAATGCGTGTATGACAACATGGTGGGCGATGTGCGGGATGGTGTTGCAGACCTGGCTGAATCGTTGGAGAAATGGCACAAGGTCTCATCCATGCCCTAGCGGAGGGCGTTCAAGTCCACTTCCATTCCGGGAAGAGGAAACGTTCCCTGAAAGTTCGCCATGAATTGGTGGCGAAGATCCTCCCAGGAGTAGATTGAGCTCTCGAGGAGGTTCATCATCTGGGAACTCCCCTGGGCCTTGAGAGCGATGGGGAAGTAGTTCGCCATCACCTTCTCATCGCTGTCGGCTGCCTGGATGGCGGTGATAATATCTGGAGGTACTCCGTCAGGTCGACGGGGCCATCATACTTCTCAAGCAGGTTGGGCTGAAACTTGGCCGGCCATTGAACCAGCTGGAGGCTCGGAGAAAGGGTTAGGCAGCCCGAGCCACACACTGCTTCAGTGGAAGGGAGCATTGGGGTTGCCCGACGGCCTTCCTCTAGATGGTCGGGGAATGCTTCTCCCGTTGGCTAATGGAGGGAGAGCGCTGATAGTCAAAAAGGCGCAGCTACCCCCACGTGGGTGGCACGCTGCATAGGCACCCTCACGCTCCCCATGTTATCGACGAGATGTGTAGAAGACGTGCGCATACTAACATTAATGTGGGGGAGTGGTTGGAGCAACTCCCTCGCCTTGTCAGCTTTCCCTCGATGTGGCTACGTTCCTCAAAGGGAAACAACTTACATCGGAGATGGTTGGGCTTCGCCTCCGGATCCATCGCGCTCGCAATGGGCACACTCGGGCCCCCTCTCGAGGCATGAAGAGTGCTTGGGCCGCTGCCCGAGTCCCAAAGACGATTGGGCTTCGCCTTTGGATTCATCACGCTTAGGGCACCCTACGTACTCGGGGCAGCATCGGGCACCCAAGCCGTTCCCATTGCTAGATATATATTGTTCATCGAATTTGGACGAGCTTCTCGAAATTATCAAAGATGAAAGAGTTCATGATGTCACAACTTACAAGGGAGGCCCTTGATTGCTTGTACTTGTCTCAGTATCTTGAAGATGTAGATCTTATACGTCGTGATGTGTACCACAGCGCCCTGATGACCCGAGGGGAAAGGAACCCGGTTCCCATTTCTTTGACACTATGTGACATGTGGATAGTTAGATGGCTAAATAATTACTCACTTAACTCACATTAGTGATCCATACGTGTATTTTGAAAGTAGAGTGATCTATATGACACATCTAAACAAGTTGGATGAGCCTGCATGTATTTTACTCTACAATATTTATTGCAAAATATATAAAACATTGTTTAAATACGGAGGTATATCATTCGTAAGAAAGGAATATCATAAACCGAAGGAAGTAGAAGTTAGGAGAAAAACATTACCATTGAGAATCATTGCTCAGTCACTCCAATATGCACCAGTGATCAACTCACATCAAAATATTAAGCAATCCAAAATTTCTTTTAGTTTTTTTTCTGCACATTTATATCAACCTTTGTATTATTCTGTCCCAAGCACAATGAACTATGTGTAATTTGGGAGACCTGCACAAACATACCATGAAGAGATGGCAGACTTTATCAATATTCATGATAGCAGCACCACATTTAAAAGCAAGAAGAAGCTCAATGGCACTGAACATTACTATCGACAAAGAGTAATAATTGGTAAAGGCAACTTACAGAATAGATTGATATTTCAATATAGCTAGAATGGTGAACAATCATAGTGAGGCTTCATGTTTGAAGGTAGACACAAGATCAAGGTGGGTAACTGGGCATAAGTCAAACACCAAGTCACCAACATTTATCACCCGCTTTTCATTGATCAAACCATTGCAATATTTTTGTTTTGTGCAAGAAAGAGGAAAGGGCTTCGGCGTAGGTGTATGAGAAATCTTCGACAATTCCAAGTTGGGCGCCACCAGCGAGGATGACAGGCGATGGAGCGGAGTGAGAATGCACGTAGTGGTGACAACGATAGGAGGATGTGACCTTCAGAGAGAGAGAGAGAGAGAAGATACATGCAACGATGTTATTAGAGGAGCGAGGAGGCATCATCGCTCAGAGGATGGCATGGCGGCTGGGTTAGCGTAGATGATTTTGCAGTGGCGGGACTCGGCGCATCAGCTCGTGGGGTCAGTGAGTTCACTGAATGATCCATAGGCTCAATCCGTTATGGATGTATGAAGCCATTAGTTAGAAGAACCCGACAACTGCGGAATGAATGGGGGGGGAATTGTCTATGCGTTTCACTGGAAACATGTAAGAAAGAATGAAACTCCTCCTTTTTTATATCAGTATCTATACTAGTACTACAAAAGACAATAATGATCAGCCCATGTACACTAACTTTTGCTTGTTTTACAAATTAGTGTATGATATTATGCAGTAGAATGTCTGTTGGAATAAAGTGAATAACATATATTTAAATAAACATGTGCATTTTACCCATAGCAAAATATGGGAATTTTGCTAATAGATATGAATGTACATAATACGTAAGTACATCAAATTCGAAGTACTCCTAGATGTAGTATATCGGTCCTAAAATAACTTTATATTTAATCATAGTAACACAAATTAAGATTTTTTTTAAAAAAAGCTAAAGTGTTCTTCATCAATGAAAAAAATAGGATCGGTGGGTGGATAAGTAAGAGATATTAAAGAGATAAAACTAATCTATTTACATATCAAAGTAGGTAAAGAGTAAGAAATGAATATTTGGGACAAATCGTGTATATATGCTTAAAAAGTAAAGTTAATTTAGAACACCGAAAATAGTACATTCAATCCAAGTCGAACAAACAAACATATGATCTGGAGAACTCTCTTGAGCCCTGTCAACTTTCCCCTCCCCTTGCTACAGTAGATCTTCCGTTCTCCGCCCCTCCCCCAAAATACCTGCATTTCATCGACCGTTGGTGAGGGTTGGAGGAGGAGTCTAGCCACCTCCCATATTAGTATAGTGTAGCTAGGTTGTAGTATTTCGTCAGGTTCTTACTATGCTTTTGGGTATGTCCCGTGTGATTTCTTTTTGGCGAAGGACCCGGGATGCCGAAGTGGATGGTGGAGGTGATGGTTTCCAGAGGTGGAGCTGTGAGATGCGAAGGTCTGTTAATGAATTGAGGGATGGAGACATCTTCTTGTGCTCGTGTTAGCTACAGGCGCCATGTGAACGCGGCGTTGGCCTTGGAGCTTTGGGCGGCATTGCTCCGTGCGGCTGCGGCGTTGTCCATGAAGCTTCGGGCGGCAGTGCTCTGTGTAGCAGAGGTGGCCTGAGAGCTCTGTGTAGCGGCGTTGTTCTATGTGGCTGATGGCTATGGAGCTCTAGGCGGCAGTGCTTTGTGCGGCGCGGCCCACAGCTTCCATGGCTTCGCTGTTGCCTCCGACTGCTACTTTTCGGTAACGGTGAAGATCTTCCATGGTGTCTCCTTTCTCCAATCTGAGTATCTCTTCTTCATTGGCAGCTTGCTCCTCTCAATTTGTCGCGTCCTACTTCAGTTTCTGCTGGATTTGAGCTCACAGTGCTTTTACAAATCTTCAGCAATCCTCAGCCTTCTGCAAAGAGAAGTTCTATTGCACCCATCTGATTATTCCTGTGATGTTGGCTACCTGTTCTTTGGAATCTTACTTCCTTTTGTTTCAAAATAGTAGTATCCATGCATAGTTCGAGTTGAGCAAATTATGCTCCTCAGATCTAATGGAAAACTCCGTGGAACTAATTTGTTGAGTCCGGTGACACCTACATCAAGATCTACGGCTCAGCAACTAACCTCCAATTGGTGCCATTTCCGTGGTGACGGCCGTAGGAGCTTTCCGGTCCGTCAAGCGGTGAGCATTCCGTGGTGACAGCCATAAGAGCTTTCTGGTTCGTCAAGCGGTGAGCATGTAAATGGAGGCCCAAGAAACTCAATCGATATGATACTCTACTGCTGTTTAGTCTCTTCTGGAAGTTTGCTTTCTTAGATTGGTTAGTCTCTACCCTACTAGGATGTATCCCGTAAACTCTATCTTGGGTAATAAAGTTGTTTAAGTTATTAAAAAAAAGAGAACAAACGTACAAATCGGTTGGTTCACACCGGCAGAGACACACACCCATCAATCCTCGCCCGCATCTTTTGGTTGAGCTGTAGAAGAAACACCAGAGCAGAGCATACCAGTATTGCACGTACAAAACCGGCCGGGCCGGCTGGGTGGGTCGGAGTGGACACGTCGGCGACGGAACCGGTTCCCCCTGGGGTCACTGACATGTGGTCCCATCACACTCATCATCGGTCGGGGTCGTGGACGCGGGGGGGGGGGGGGGGGGCGCGAGCTGGCGCGGCTGGCACGCCAACCAAACCACCTCCTGGCGCTACCATCGCTGGCCCACTTTATTTTATTTTTTCCTTTTATTTTTGCACTCGCTTGGTCGCTCTCGCCACGAGCCCACGAACCCACACGCAGGAGGAAGGAGGCCACGACGCAGCGCAGCGCGTCTGCGCTTCTCCACCTCCCCCCTCCACCTCGACCTCGATCTCCCCTCCCCTCCGCTGGCCATGCAGCCCGCCCCCGCGTCGCCGCCCAAGGCCGACGGCGGCGAGGACGAGGAGGAGGAGTGCTCCAGGGCCGTGGTGAAGGAGGAGCCGCACCACCAGCAGGAGGAGGACGACGACGATGCGGCTGCGGCTGCGGATGGAGGGGAGGATGAGAAGGAGAAAGTGGAGGAGGAGGAGGTGGAGGAGCGGGGGAGGAGGAGGAGGGGCAGGCCGGGGAGGAAGAGGGGGAGGCGAAGCGGCGGCGGCGGTGGTTCGGCTGCGGCTGCGGCGGCGGCGAGAGGAGGGGTGGTGATGGTGAAGCGGGAGCTGCTCGCGAGGTGCATGACGTGCCCGCTCTGCGGCCGCCTCCTCCGCGACGCCACCACCGTCTCCGAGTGCCTCCACACCTGTCAGTTCCTCCTCCTCCTCCCTCCTACCTTCCTCCCACCACGCCGTCCGTGTTGAATTCAATTCAATTGAGCTAGGATCCGGTTTCTCCCACGTCCCCGATTCGGCGCCGTACGTGGGGATTTCGCCGTCGCCGTGGCTCCCGCGCGTTGACGTGTCGCGGCCGGCCGGGGATTTCGCCTTCATGGGAGGATATGCCCTCATGTCATGCCTCTGTGCCTTGCTAGGCGTGACCCGATTTCCAACGTTTCCCGTGTGCTAGCTACCTGCTCCACTTTTCTAGTAACACCGTAACACGCACTCCAGGAGGGGAATGCCGTGTTGTTTCACGTAAATCATTCACCCGTCTCATGGATCGCTGATAGCTCTGCCATTTTTCCTTTTTTTGATTGAGATAGTTAAGCAGCTCAGATTCACTAACTGTCTTACTGAAAGCTCGGGTGCTCCAGCATGGTAATCTACCAAGACTGGGATGAGCTCACTATTCATCTTCGGGAGACAAGGCTGGCCTAAATATGCTACTTTTATGTGGCCCCAAGCAAATGCTAGCGTCTGTTTAAGATTCGGGAGAATGCTGCATGCATTTCCGGGTTGTCGATTTGGAAACATTTTGCTCAAGTAATTAATGTTAGGCTGTCCATTGTATAAAGCAGAGTGAAATGCTACAGTAGCAACTTAACAACCAACGTCATTCACCAACGACACAAGTAGATCCTGGGTTGAATGTTGTTAGTAACTAGTAGTAATTCAAAATCCAGTTGTGCTGCTACTTGCATTCTTTATGAGATAATTTCGGCTCTCAAATTTATACTTTATCCTCCTAATCTACATATGACATGCCCCAATATCTTTGGTAACCGATAGTATATTTTCAGTTGGAGTTGAATTCAGGCAGATGTTACATATCCGCTATTACGCTATTGCCAACTTATTCGTTCCACTTTTAATCAATTGGAACAGTGCTGCTAGTGCACATCTGGTCAGCATAGAATTCGCCTTTTGATATTTTCAGAGTTCATTTGGAAGAACTTTCATTGTTTGGCCTCTTTTTGGGATAACTGTAGTTTTATTAGTGGTTCTTCGGTCTTATGTGCTACCTTTTCTATGGATTCTTGACCCTATCACTAATTTCACAGTTAAGTTTACAACACAATAGTACAAGTAGTGAGAAAACCAGTTATGCGTCTTGACTTAATTTGATAAAAAAAAGGTAAAAAAACACAATATTTGATTGCTCATAGATTCCACAGCTCTAATTTTTTCACCCTGATGCAGTTTGCAGAAAGTGTATATATGAGAAGTTGAATGATGAGGAGGTAGAATCCTGCCCAGTATGTAAAATTGATCTTGGCTGCACTCCAGTTGAAAAGCTTAGGTATGCTTATCATCATGTATATGCACTCAAATTTTATTGAGATTGCTTGTCCCTGTAGCTTGTAAGGTCAAAATAACTGTGTATTTGCACTTCAATTTTGACTGTACTGTTAAATTTCCTGCATCTTCTATTTATTACTCCTATATGATATGACTACCAAGTGGGGCATAGTATGAATAGAGCATGTCAACTTGGTACTTTGATTGAGATTTCCTTAATAAACAAAACACTAGGAAGTAATACAGTGGGAAAAAAGTAGAAATGTTACATCCTGAATGCCTTGGTGACTGTTTGTTTAACTCCAAGTAGCTCCCCACTATTTGAGTAAAATATGTACCTCAGGGTTTAAACAGTATCACCTGGGATATTATGGAATCTTAGACACTTTTTAGTTAAGCTCTACGTAATACAGTAAGCAATCATACAGGACTATTTTGTACAGTGTTGATTCTGTTGACTTCAGTTTCATGCTTTTTGTTCTGCAGAATGTAATCTGGAACAGATATTCTGCCTCTTGTAAATTCATATGCTCTAAAGAAGAATTTTGTTTTCCTGCTCTTATTTCTGTAGTTCCTTGTTGAGTGTACTGATCCCAAAGGTTTGCTCTCATTTTACTGTATGGGTACTTTGTAGCCTGTGAAGCCATTGGTACTTGTTTGATGATTTATATTGCATCCTGTGAAATTGCATTATTAAAGTATTTATCATTGAAAATGCATCTGATTTATTTTTTGCATATGTCCTTTAGTTGGAAAATAAATTTGACGTACTTCTATTCATGTGATTCTGCACTGGTGTTTGTGGCCTACACCTACTTATACTCATTTCTTTATGTTCCAACTTCAGGGCTGATCACAATCTACAAGATGTAAGGTCAAAAATATTTCCATTCAAAAGAAAGAAGATTAGTGCTGACGAAGTAGCAGCTCCTGTTTTACTTCCCAGTAAAAGGAAAGAGAGATCTATCTCTTCTCTGGTAGTTGATACGCCTACAGTAACACCGACAGGCTTGACAGGGCGACGGACAAGAGCAGTTACCAGGAAAGCTGCTGCCTTGCGTGGCCTTGGTCCTGGTATTGATGATCCTGTGAAAAAGGAAATTGATAATGGTGAAAAGCATGCTCAGAATTCAAGCTTGCCCACTAATTTGGGCAAAGTGCCACAAACAAGAAGACAGGTAAACAGACCACACCTTATGGGGTACCCATCTCTCATGCACTTTAATGAAAGTTACATTGGACTTGGCTGTGAAATAGTGATACTAATTACTAAGTTTTCAAACTACAATAGCTAGAAGAATGCACATGCCAGCAAAAATTGATCCTGTTGTATGCAGATGTCATCAAACGCAGAGGCATCGAACCATTCCTCCAATAAAGATACCGAAGGTGATCGCAAGGACCTGGCCGATAAGACTGATGAGCTCTGGAGACCTTTAAATTGTTTGGTAGAAGCTGCAAACAGGACAAAGTCCTCCCGATCAAGTTCACAGAGTCCATTTGTTAAGAGAGAGCAACTTAGTGACTCTCCTGGGAGCACATCTGTTAACAAAACAAAGTCTAGGGAATATATGCAGAAATCCAAAATAGAGGATGATAAGAAAGATGTACCTTTGCTAAAAAGGAAAAACCAAAGGACTGGACGGAGGAGAGAACTTCATGCCCAATCTGATAGTAAGCCTGAAGCTGCAGCTACACAAAACGAAAAGAAATTCAGTTCTATATGGTTTTCACTTGTTGCATCATTTGAACAGTAAGAATTGGCGATTCATCGTAATATAACTTTGGTTTAATATTTAGGGAAAAAAAGAATTGCTGCCATGAACTTTTATCTGATCCTGTTCCTTTTTTTTCCTGATTATTTTCAGGGAAGGAGACCCACCTTTACCACAGATACCTTCCCATTATTTGCGAATAAAGTGAGCTCCCATCTTTCCCAGCGTTTCCTTAAGGTTTATGAAAATTATAGTTTAATCTGTACATGGCCTTCATATAGATCTTGTTTGGATTTATCACACTGGACTGTCAGTAGATATGTTATGATAACAACACCAATATCCAAGAAAGAAAATGCATTAGGGAGGAACAAAAGAAAGAGATACTTACATGATTTGTAATGACTAGGTGCAAGCTGATAATATAAAAGAAAATTCTTTGCATACTTGAGCTGATTGGAGATAGAAGTCACTTGGTTAGTTTCAGTGTAAATTATTGTGAATGAGGACTTTGATCTTCCACTGATACTTGACCCTGATTCAAGAGGCAGCAGAGCCGAGGTCTGACATTTGGCAACATGTGTGTTTCCAGCTTCTGCACTTCTCTGCTAGTCTGTTAGCTACAATCTTGGTGTTGATAAACTGTTTCTTTAACTACAAATATCGTGCTAAAATTCGAGTCTAATTAATTTTTAGTTGGAAAATATATTTTGCTCGCAAACTTCTGCTAGGTGCTAGACAGTGTGGCTGCATTCAAGAGTTGGAAGATATGCTGGTCTATAGTAGTGTTGTATGATGCAGATTCAGTTGTATAACATCTAGGTCATTATATTATTTTGCGACTTGATATTAGCTGGCAGATCTGATTATGGCTATTCCACACTGTGTTTTACAATAGAGATGGAAACATACCTGCCTCGTCAATCCAGAAGTACCTCATGCAGAAGCTTGGCCTTCCTAACGAGGCAGAGGTAAGAGCTATATCTGCCTCGCATTTTTTTTTAGATTACTATCATGTGTGACTGGTATTGAAGTAGATCTTTTGGACACTCTTGTGCTCATCTGGACACGGCAGGCTGCAGATTTGCTTCATTTCTGCTCTAGTTTCTGTTATGGGCCTCTTTTCGCAATTTGAGCTACAAATTATGCTTATCAGAATCCATGTCATGTTGATGATGGGTCAATTTAATTCATAAGACCATAACTTCCAGTTTGCTGTGTATTTGTTTTTCCAAAACTGTCATTTTCCTATTTTCTTTAATCGTCCCCAGACTGTATATCATTTTTTAGATAATGGAAACTTTTATTGAACTCAGTCAATTACATCAAGGTGATACAATTATCTTGAGAACACTTCCGGCCTCTGCATAACTAAGATGCACACAGCTAAACATACAAAACCACACTCAAAAGGAAAAAAGAATGACATGGAGTATTGAGGACCATCAATCCAAAGACTAAATTGCCACCCATGAACAACTCCTTGGCCATTTCCTCCAAAAGCATAAGAGCCACCAATCCTAAGACTAGATCGCCATCCATATCCTTGGGTAAAAAACTCCTTGACCACCTTCTCCAAATGTAGACATGCCGCAACCACCATTCCCACGAACCATATCCAGACTGCATATCATGATACTAATTGTTACTCCCTCCGTTTCATACTGTAAGACTTTCTAACATTGCCCATATTCATATAAATGTTAATGAATCTAGATATATATGTCTAGATTCATTAACATTTATATGAATATGGGCAATGCTAGAAAGTCTTATATTGTGAAACGGAGAAAGTACTATATATTTTCCTCTCCCCATAGTAGAATACCTCGGAGCATTTTTAACTTCCTGAAAAGATTCACACCTATAAACATCGCTGTACTTGTCGCAACATTTTCTTTATCATGGAACTTGTTTTACTTAGTAGTGAAGATCCACTGTAAGGTCATCTGAAAATATCGACTTGTCTGGATTTACAGGTCGAAATAAATTGCTGCGGGCAGCCAGTGAACCCTACACAACCCCTGTGCAATTTAGTAGAGGTGTGGTTGAGGGGGCGATCAACACAGACAACACAGACCATGATAGGCTCCCCTGCCAAGGAGTTTGTAATGGTGCTAACTTATGGGCGGCCAAAGGCCATCACGCCATGAATGGCACCACAAACACAAGGCTCAAGCCATTTTTCGCCTAGAGGCGGGTCCCGTTTCCTGCCATTTTATTGGGCCCATGGAAGAAGAGGTGATCCGAGATAAACCTCCTTGATACATACATAGCCTCACAAGTCACAATGCGGTTGGCTCACTTGGCAGCCAGCCCTTGGCGTCACATTCATATGCATTCATTGATGTTATTCGATTCCATTAAGATTGTCTTTTTCTTCATTATTTATATTATACAAAAAGGTGTGTAAAGATTAGCAGAAAAAAGGCTGTTGTGAATTATCTGTATACCTGTAGTCATTATTGCTGTTTAGGTTGGTTATAAAGAGTCTATATGTATGAGATGACTAGATAAAGTGGATGTGGATCGCAAAATTTGTCTTCCAGCCGTTTCATGGACTGCTGTAACAGTTACTAGATCGTTATTCTTTTTGGAGAGCCCAGCTTTCATTCAAAGCATAAGAGTACGTTACAGAGCAGAGAAAGAGAAGAAAGACAGATAAAAGTAAAAAGGGGCAAAAACCTGGGGATTCCAGCTTAACATGAACAGAGCACTATAGCTGCTGGCACAGCTCAAAAACAAGCCAGGAAACACACCAAAGACACTTAAGTATTACTCAATTCATCAGATACTTAAGCCTGCTATCTTTCGGATACTGGCAAGCAGTAAGTCCCTTGAAGCGTCCAGAGTACTCTTCTTCGTTGGCGCTAGTTTTCTCCACTGTAAATGTAAAGAAACAACCTTGTAAGGTAAATGAGAAGCATCATCGATCATTTTGTTGTTGAAAACCCAGTCATTTTGCAAAAGCCAATGGCCCAAGAGCCAGCAGCAAACAATGAAAGGGAAGTAATGTTTGAATCACAACTTTGCATTTTCAGTTTATCCATCAACTCCCCCCTTGATCTAGGAATGCCACTCCATCCAAAAGCATCTCTAACGCAGCACCACATGATTTTGGATATTGCACAGTTAAACATCAGATGGTCTACATCTTCCACTTCACACAATTTGCAATTAGGGCTGGCATTCCATTTCATCTTCTCCACACAATTTGCAATTAAACCCTTCGCATAACCCTCCCTAACCAATCACACCGCACCTCAGGTTTCGCCCCCATTCCTCAACAGGCAGCGGGCAGCCCCCTCTTGTACCTAGATAAACCCGGAAGAAGCATAGACTGTCGCAGGGCCCATCCATACTCCATCACGCCCACTCTTGCTCGGATACGTTAGCTAGGTCAAGCCACACTACAGATCCAGCCGTTGCCATGTTGGCTTGTGGTAAGTACGGGTAATTCTTCCAGGATTTCCCAAGAACTTCCCCTTAATTGTCATGGGTGCGACTAGCAAAACCAAGCACCCATAACCCACCATTTAAGCATATTTTAGTTCAATTATTACCATGGTGGTAATCCATCATTAAATTAAGGACTAATAATTTATGTGAAACCCATAATGTGCTAATTGATCTAAGCATGGCTAAGCATCATCTAAACCAATCATCTAATCATTTCATATCCCAGCTATCAAAGATATAGGTTAAAAATGGCTGAGTACAATAGGTATCCATCCCACATAACATATAAAATAATACAATTTTAAGAAGAAAGCGGGAATTTATAAAATAGGTACAATATGATCAATATGTATGTATGACTTGCCTTGCTCCTGAGCTGGAGAGACATATGCAACCACTTCGAAATACATGGGAGCTTCGGAACTGCCAAATTCTACACGACAAACAAAGCACAAGCAATACATGCTATAAGTCTACTGAAATAGGAAAATAAACCATTTTTAATGGATTCTAGATATTTTTATGAATTTATTGAGACTTAAATGGATTAAATCGAAGCTCAGATGAATTAGATATAAATTTTAGAATATTCATTGTGTATTTACTATAAACCAGAAAATCCTTATTCCATTATTACGTGTTGACGCCTGTGGGCGGACAAAACAAGGGGATACGACAACAGCAAGCGGGCCTCATGGGTCAGCGGCTCATTGAGCCGACCTACCGTGGTCCAGGGCCATGCGGGCGGTCTACTGCTGGTCCACGATACCGGCGGCCTGGGTCGGTCACGAAACTGACTGAGTGACGCAACTCGGCACGGCCGAGCCAGGAAAACACGGGAAACACGATGTGCGACAAGCGACCGGCAAACGACATGGCAGGAAATGGCCAGGGCGACATGACGCTAGGGCGGCGGGCAGTTGGCGGCAACACGGCACGAGCCGACACGGCGGCAACAACGGCACGTGGCCAGTAGGTGGTGGCAGACGCAGGCAAGCGCCGGCAACGCGCGACAGGCGCGGCGGCGGGTAGGCAACGGCTGGTGCGACAAGGCGGGCGCTCGGCGGCGGCATGCGGCAGCGGCTGGCGCCCGACAGTGGCTAGGGCAGCGCAGCGCGGCACGGCAAGGTGTGGGTCACATTGATTCAGCTTGCCACGTGAGCTAAAGCCGAGCGTTTAAGTCCGTTTTTGTAAATTGAGGTACCGATTATATATTTGACTTTTTAGTTAAGGGACGAATTTCATACTCAGCAAAAAAAAAAAATTGAGGGAACTAGAATGAACTTATTCCGGGTGCTGCTGTTCCCTGGGTGCTGCTGTTCCCTGACGGCGGAGGGTGTCCGACCAGCCCAACTGTGTTCCACGTGACTGTCCTCGGCCTTGTTGGGTCGAAACTGTGCGATTCAAGACTCCAAGACCCATCATGGCAGATATCCTAAGGTTTCTTTAGGGGAAAAAGTTCACTTGAGGTCCCTCATCTTGTCGTCGAGTTTCAAAATCGTCACTGAATCGGAATACCAGATATAATGTATCCCTAATCTTACAAAGCCGGATCGTATTGGGTCCCAAGGCAGTATTAAGAGCGGTTTTGAATGATGTGGCGTTGACATGACGCTTAATTTTTTTTAAACAATAATCATATGGGGATCCACGTGTCAGTGAAACAATATATTCTTCCTTCCTCTCTCTTACCATCACGTGTTCGAAGGTTGTAAAGCGAGGTCGCGAGGCGGCGAGGGAGCTGGGACTTGGGCCGTGCTTTCTCGAGCCGGCCCAAGGCACGATGGCTCAGTACGAAGGAAAGCACGGCCCAGCACGATACGGCTATGGGCCGTGCCTGGGCCGTAAGTTGAGGCACGTTGGGCGGCACGGCACAGCACGGCCATTGGGTCATGCTTGGGCCAGCCCAGCACGAAAAAGGCCCGAAGGCTGGCCCGAGCTCTAGCCTAGCCGAACGCACGAGGAGTCGTAAGTCGCCACGAGGAGATCAGGAGGCAGGATGATGCAACCACAAACAAAGCTGTTGCCGGCTACGAGCGCGTACGCTTGGCCACGGAGAGTTTGGGTCACATGACGACGCCATTGCCGGCTACGAGCGGGTCGCGGAGAGTTTGGGTCACACGACGACGCCATTGCCGGCTACGAGCGCGTACGCTTGGCCACGGACGAAGCCGTGCTTCGTCGGCCCCTCGCGACCTCGCCGCCTAACCGTCGGCTTGGATGGTGAGAGATGAACAAGCTAGGAAGATTATATCTTTTTCACTGACATACTGGTCCCACGTCGGTTTTTATTCGTTATTTTTCTTTGCCATGTCAGCGCCACATCATTCAAAACCGTTATTAATACTTCTTTGGGACCTAATATAACCCTGTTTTGTAATATTAGGGATGTGTTATATTTCGGTTTAGGAATGATTTTAAAACTCGTCGACAAGATGAGGGATTTGAAGTGAACTTTTTTCGTTCCTTAGGGCGTTTTTATCCACCAATCTCTCCGTCTCGTCCCACACCTTCGTCTCAGCCGCGGCTTGAGGTGCGTACATGCGATTTCCTTTGCTCTATTCCTTGCCCCCGATTTGGATTCGAATTTGAAGATTTGTCGACTCAAGTTCCTGTTGTTTGGGATGTATCGATTGTTATTTTATATCGGATCTTGAGATTTGTCGATTTAAATCGTAAGTAGTAGGATTACGGTGGATTGATTCATATTTTGCAATGGATTCATAGTATCATGATTTGTCTTTTCGATTTGTAATAGTAGTAGTAGTATTGGGGATGGATTGATTATTATTTTGCCATGGATTATTCGTATCCTGGAATTAGTCGATTTAAATCTTAGGGCATGTTTAAATCCCCTAGTAAAATTTTTCACCCTGTCACATCGAATATTTAGACAAATGTATGGAGTATTAAATATAAGCGAAAAAATAATTATGTAGATTGCGTGTAAATTACGAGACGAATCTTTTAAACCTAATTACTCTATGATCTGACAATGTGGTGTTACATTAAACATGTTGCTAATAACGGATTAATTAGGTTTAATAAATTCGTCTAGCAGTTTACAGGAGGAATCTGTAATTTGTTTTATTATTAGTCTACGTTTAATACTTCAAATGTTTATCCGTATATCCGATGTGAAACGCCAAAACTTTTCATCCCTAGAAGTAAACACAGCCTTAGTAGGAATTTGTCGATTTGAGTCCTAGTAGGAATGATCGATTTAAGTCCTAGTAGGAATTTATCGATTGTGATGGGTGGTGAACTGATTCATATTTTGCGATGGATTCATCGGATCTTGGGCTTTGTTCATCAAAGCGCTTGAGGTAGGATTTGGGATGGATTGATTAAGTTGGAGTAGGATTTGTTCAGCGTGGTAGTGAGTTCATCAGATCTTATGACTTGTCGATTTAAGGTTGATTAGGATGGATTGATTCTGATTTAACTCGAGTTCGAATTGCAGAAGGAATACGTCAAGTAGGCGATTTGGACGCAGTAAGTACGTCCATGCTTTATCTCATCTTGGACGACTGGATCTTCCGCAAGATTGATTTGTCGTCTAACCAACCTGATGGGCGGCAGGTACCTGGAGGCATCGCGAGGGAAGCCGCCTCCTCCCTGCCACCCCCCTTCTTCCGCTGGAATGCACAACGTGGGATGCCCCTGCACTTCGTCGCCATCGGCTCCAAGATCTTGGCCATGCCTCCCATGGAAGAAAAAAGGGATACTGATCACCTCGACGTTGGCGGCGCCTGCTTCGACGTCCGCACCGGGTGCGTCGTCTTCGTCCCTCGGCACGGCGGCGATCAGCACGGCGACCCAGTATACTTCCAGATCGGCAGTAGGCTCTTCACGCTAGGGTGCTCCCGCTTCCAGCTCCTTGACCTACTGCCGCTGGCGCTGGATGGCGACCCTAGAAGTACAAGGCGGCAGCAATGGTCATGGCGCGATCTCCCGATGCCGCCCTTCCTCCACTCCATGCGTGCTCTCTCTCACGTGCTTCTCCCTCAAGAAGACCAGACCATCCTCGTCGGCGTTGGGTTCCTCTCCCCAAGTTCTTCCTCCACCTACAGCTTTCGCATTGCGGAGGACGGGAGCTCAGCCTGGAAATGCCTTGGTAACTGGGGGCTGCCTTTCCATGGCCGCGGTTACTTTGACCCTAAGCTGAATGCCATGATCGGGCTCTCGATGGATGGACGCATCTGCTCCGGCCAATTGGTGTCTGATCACTGCCCGGACGTGAAGTATTGCAGGGAGAATCTGTTCAGCCGAGACGCGCGTAGGCGCCACCCTCGTCTACATGGGACAGAGAAGCAGATTTTGCCTGGTTGAGTCTGTTGCTGTCAACTACTTATGTCAGGAGGGGGTTTTCAGCTTCAAGCTTGAGGGTCCGTTTTTTCGCTACATGTTTCGGCTGACGACTTTTCGTCTGAAGTTTGATGATGATGATGGACACCTAACCACTGGTCGCAGCCGACGGGTGCGATACTATTATGCCCCTGCAAATGATGTTAGTTATTTTGCCTGTCGGTTTCCCGTAGCTTTCTACATATGAACGTTTTGTGGTCGGTGTAAACCCGAGATTGATTAAAATCGGGCGATCGGGGGAGGTGGGAAAAATCGGTCGCTCCCTCTTCCCGCATGCGCGCGCTCCCCTCTCCTCATCTGGACCCACCCACTTATCCCTCCCCTTGTTCCACAAAAATGTTTCACCAAGTGTACTTATAATGGAATTTGGTTTATTTTTTGTTCCACTGGAAAATGTTTCACCTAGTATACTCACAATGTTTCACTATGTATAGATCTAATGTTGCAGTGAACGAAACATTCCATTGCAACAAAAAAACCCACATATTTTGGAAACCCCCTATTAAGAGAATTTGGTTTATTTTTTGTTCCACCGAAAAATGTTTCACCTAGTGTACTCACAATGTTTCACTATGTATAGATCTAATGTTGCAGTAAACTGAAACATTCTTTCACTATTTGTTGAAACATTGTTTTTATATAAGGTAAAACAACACCCAATTTAAACAAGTGAAACATTTTCGATCTACTTAGTGAAATAATTCCGATATACCTGGTGGAACATCGTGCAACATTTAAAAATAATTCAATAATAAGCTTTTTTTCGTCGGAATATATCCATGTGTGGTCTTGTTTTGAAGATTTAATTGCAACGAATTTAATGGTGCAATCGGATCATGATTTGGATAAGTAGTTTAGAAGAAAAATCAGTTTAGTAGTTTTGCATGTAAATCGGACGCGATTTTTCTTGAAATCGTCGGGCGCCCGAGCCGTAGGCAGCCGTGTAAACCTGCAGTTGGACCATGTATCCGTGTTTGGTGTAAACCAGTAGTTTTATCTGTGGTTTGTTGTGGGTGGATGACTGTTACATTTTCTGGTGATTGTTCCTACTATTTCTAAGGCCTGGTTTAGTTCTCCAAATTTTTTTCCTAAAAACATTACATCAAATCTTTGGACACATGTATTAAATATAGATAAAAACAAAAACTAATTGCCTAGTTAGGGGGAAATGGCGAGACGAATCTTTTGAGCCTAATTAGTCCATGATTAGCCATAGCTATAAGTGCTACAGTAACCCACATGTGCTAATGATGGATTAATTAGGCTCAAATATCCGATGTGACATCTAAAAATTTTCTTTTCTGTAACTAAACAAGCCTAAAAAATGTTTGGTTGTACCTATTGTACTAATTAATGTTCTGAACCAGTATCTAGGTAGATCGCATATGAATTGTACCAATGTATTGACTTTTTTGAAACGCTTTCACAATATTGAAACTTAATTGTTTTTTTTAACATTAATCACAATATTGAAACTTAATGGTTCTTTTACATTAATCTTAGAGCTTTTTGAAGGTATGCGTAAGCTACTGCTACTTCTAAATTTGTGTTGAAATTCAGATATAGGATGAGGACTCCGACTTTGCTTGAATTATGAGCGATAAGCTGGTAGGGTTTGAATTCTTGCGGTTTTTTTACCTGCCTCAGGCTAGCCAACTTATTGTGTTTGAAGCTCGTTAAATCCCAATTTTTTGGGGTAACTTTCTTCATATACAGGATGAGGACACATATCCTTCTTTGAAGGTTCAATCCCAATATTTTTGGGTTGAGTGATTGAACTTTCTCCAGACTAGTTAGGTGCCCGTGCTTTGCTACGGGGTAAAATATGTATCCGCTTAAAGTTATACTAAGTAAAATAATGTCAAATAATCATTAAATGTAAATTTATTATAATAAAACCTTAATATAGCCCCCACATTCAAAGAGACCACTCAATCTCCACACGCTTAACCTAGAAAATTCAGGTTTCTCTGCCATTGCAAAATGGCAAGTGCGTTCTTACCCCCCTTCTTTATGTTTTAATTATGATTTTACACCTTTTTATGGTTTATGTTTTTACCCTTGTTTTTTTTCAAATGCACCTTCACTCTACCCCTATTATGTTAAGATAACTTAACGGTGTCAATTCAGCCATAAAAGGACAATTATACCCTTGGGCATTTTCCTAACTTTTTGTATAATTTGCATGCATTTCAAATGTGACTAAACACTGACAAAATTTGACAACATTTTAACACAAATTGTACGGTTGCAAAACTTCACTACAAAGATTCATCACAAATTCCAACCAAATAGCAAATACTGTGAGATGGCAAAAAAGAAAAAGAAGATCAAACGGCAACGACATCGCTCGTCTTTGTGGACGAGCCGCCCGCAGTGTGTCGTTGTTGCCGGCTTGCGGCGCCAAGCTGCTCGCTGCTCGCCACCATTGAGGGGAACGGCCGTCCCTGCTGCGGGTAACCGAGACACCCTGCCCTTTCCCTTTTCGCATCGTCAGATTCGCTGCCTGCCCATGCGCTGCGTCGGAGCTACCGCGGCCTCCCCATAGCATCTGCTATGGCCTTCCCACACGCTGGTCCCGGATGTGACGTAATAGGAATTACTATACAAGCACCATCACCGATTTTTGTTGAGTTGTGATCTAAATTTTTTTTAGAATTACACAGTACAACACAGACACTTACAACGCACGCGCACTCACCCATATAAACACATGCACGCAAACCCTACCCCTATGAGCATCTTCGAAGACTGGGCCAGTAAATTCTGAAAAGATTGACGAAGTCACCACAGGTGCCTCGCTGTCGACGGGTACGTCGCCTACCACTGAAATTTGTGATCCAAATTTATTTACATTTAATAAAGGCCAGCTTTTGCCGGAGTGAAGCGGATGCCCAGGGGTGCGGGGACGGAGCCCCCGCGGTACGGATCGTCATCCCTTTTAGGGTTCCACCATATATATACACCTCTTGTAAGCCGCTGTACGGTGTTGTAATCTCACCCCGATATATTGAAGATATTTTACATGTGTAGATTGGAGATAATTATACGGATGAAACACATCAGATGATGGTCAACGACGTAAATGACTAGAACAAACAACATATCAAAATAGGGAAAAGATAAAGTACTCTCAAAACATACATGTATACTCTGAAAACATAGCAATCCACATGACATACTACCTCCATTTTTTAAATGTATAACACTGTTGATATTTTAATCAACACTTGACTATTCATCTTATTCAATTTTCTTTTTGTAAATATAAAAATATTTAAATCATACTTAAAGAACATTTAATGATAAACCAAGTCACATTAAAATAAGGGTATGTTTAGTTCTCAAACAAAATTTTTCACACTGTTACATCGAATGTTTGGACACCTGAATAGAGTATTAAATGTAGAAAAAAAACCAATTGCATAATTCGCCAGGAAATTGCGAGACCAATCTTTTAAGCCTGATTATGACATGATTTGACAATGTGGTGCTACAGCAAACATTTGCTAATGACGGATTAATTAGACATAATAAATTCGTCTAGCAGGTTCCTGGGGGAATATGTAATTTGTTTTATTATTAGACTACGTTTAATACCTCAAATGTGTGTCCGTATATCCGATGTGACATGCAAGGGTAATTTTTTTCCAACTAAACAAGCCTAAAATAATAATAATATATTTTTTTAATATGACGAATGGTCAAACGTATAAAAAAAGTAAACAGCGGCATATATCGGAAATGCTCTTCGCCGGTCGCCCGGCTTGGGGGGAGCCGGATCGGGCGCTCCCCCCGCGCCCCCTCCCCCCACGTGCCTACTTGGGCCCAACCATTTCTGCTCCCCTTTTTTCTAGAAAAGATGTTTCACCTAGTGTATTTACAATGTTTCACTATTTATAAATCTAATATTGCAGTGAATTAAAATACTCTTTTGCAACAAAAAAAAACCCACATATTTTGGAAACTCTCTATTAGGGAATTGGTTTATTTTTTGTTCCACCCAAAATGTTTCACCTAGTGTACTCACAATGTTTCACTATGTATAGATTTAATGTTGCACTGAACGAAACATTCTATTGCAACAAAAAAAACCCACATATCTTGGAAACCCCTATTAAGGGAATTTGGTTTAGTTTTTGTTCCACCGAAAAATGCTTCACATAGTGTACTCATAATGTTTCACTATGTATAGATCTAATGTTGCAGTGAACTGAAATATTCTTTCGCTATTTGCTGAAACATTGTTTTTATATAAGGTGAAACAACACCCGATTTAAACGAGTGAACCATTTTTGATATACTTAGTGAAACAATTCCGATATATCTGGTGGAACATCGTGCAACATTTAAAAATAATTCAATAATAAGCTAAAAAATTTTTTCGTCGGAATATATTCATGTGTGGTCTTGTTTTGAAGATTTAATTACAACGAATTTAATGGTGCAATCGGATCATGATTTGGATAAGTAATTTAAGAGATAAAACCGTTTAAAGTAATTTTGCACGTAAATCGGACGCTGACGTCAGCGCCCGATTTTACCCCTCCCGATCGGGCGCTCGACCGGGAGTCATCCCCGACATATATACATAAAAAAATAGAGGGAGAACTAATTAAAAATAGTGAAAGTAAAAGAATAGGATCCGACACGGGTTTTTGAGTTGCTACATGTGCATACTCCCCAGCTCAGTAAGGCCATTCACAGTGCGTCACCAAGTTTTGGTGTTTCTTACATGCCACGTAGACCAAGAACTGTATTAGCCACACATCTCACAGTGCAAACTCCACAAGGCCACATACATGTACTAGCTTGTAGTGGGTCCCACCACTACTACTTTTACAGTTTCACCTTTTACTTTCCCCTCTCTCTCCCCCAACTCTTTCTTTCCCCACCACAGAGCCGGGCGGAGACAGGTCGCCGGAACTTGGGCGGAGCGGCGGCTCAAGCGCAGGTCACAAAGGGGGTCAGGTGGCGTCGGCTCGTCGGGGCGCGGCGGCGGCGGCGCCGTGGCCTTCCACGGCGGGGCGGGGGCGGGGCGGGCCGGCCGGGCGGCGGATCGAGGGATCGACCTCGAACGGCGGCGGTATGTCGGCGGCGGACGCCCGACTTGGAGCACGGGACAGCGACGAGCGGACGAGCGGCGTCCAGCCTCCACGCCTCCGCCTTCCTCCTCTGGCCCGAGCGGCGACGGCGTTGGGCGGCTGCGTCGGTTGGCGCCCTCCTTCGCGAATCCATCTCCATCCCCGCCGACGGACGGTGCGGCGGGAGCTTGGCGGCGCGCCTACGGGGGACGATGCGGCGGGAGCTCTGGCGGCACGACCCAAGCGGCGCCGGCGCCGGGGGCTCCACCTCTCCTCTCCTCGCCGGGCCGCGCTGGGCG